ATTTTTGACTGACTGGTGAGACACCATCACATTTTTCAAGCCCTGTGTGTATATGTATATCTCTCTATCTATAGAGAGAGATATAAATATATATATATACAGGGCTTGAAAAATTTGGCGTGTCTCACCAGTCAGTCAAAAATTTCACCAGTCAGCATGACCTGACTATAGCCTTGCAATATATGTTAAAACATTTTGGGGACAGATAGAGCTCTCTTTTGTGACCCCACGGGGGGTTATTTTTTTTTTACTATACAATGAAAAAAGTACCATAAATGTATAAAAAAAAGTTTCCCTATGTTATTTCCTACCCACTATATATATAGTAAACCTTTTCCATTCTATTTTCAATTCATAAATTGCAAAAGTCAATGTCCAAAAGGAGGTGTGTGTGTGTGCGCTCTCCAGCCCTGCGGTGAACAAACTGCCTCCTGTTACAGCCAAATATTTACAATTTTGACTCCTCAGTCCAGAACACCTGCTGCCATTTTTATCCACCCCAGTTCCTATGTTTTTGTGCATAGTTGAATCGATTAGCCTCATTTCCATGTCGGAGGTATGGCTTTTTTGCCACAAGGCTGCAGAAAAATGGCAGCAGGTGCTCTGGATTGATGAGTCAAAATCTAAAATATTGCTGAAAGCATTCTTTACAGCGTGTCTGTGTATATTTCTCATGTAACAAATTGGAAATACACACTCACCCTGATTTTATTACCTTCACATTCACCTTCTTGTCACAGGAGGAAGGTAAAAATAATCACTTTTGGTTTGCCACAATTCCTCCTTTACATTATTGCCAGGTAATAACTTTTTACCACTTTTCCTCTAAATGGGTATATGCCCTTTGATTGAGATATATTTCGGCCCAAAGTGGCACTTTGGGTAAAATGCAGAAGGTACCATCTTTTCGCTCAAATTGTGTTGTGCAGTGTCCAGCAGCAAGGAGAGAAACTGTCAGGAGGCCAAGTAGTGTGGGGAGGAGTGCGTTTTTTGACGGCGAGTCAGAATGGAGAGCATTACAAGCAGTCAGCTGACTGCTTACTGCATGTAAATGATTGAGGACATAGTATGTTTACTGTGTCCCCAATTATGAATGAACTGGAAGTGCACTACATCACTTCCTGCTCATTCATGATTGAGGCCATAGTAACTCATACTATCTCCACAAGTTGGATGGGAGAGAGAGGGTATACAGGGAGAGAGAGGGTATACAGGGAGAGAGAGGGTATACAGGGAGAGAGAGGGTATACAGGGAGAGAGAGAGGGTATACAGGGAGAGAGAGGGTATACAGGGTGGGAGAGAGGGTATACAGAGAAAAATACACAGACAGGATATCATGTAAAAGAAGATGGACAGAGGGAGACCTACTGGGGAAAATCGTGTGATCTGCTTGCAGCCTCCTTCTCACTGTATAGCAGCTCCGCCCACTATTTCCTGTGACATCACAGGGCAAATGCTGCTACCGAGATCAAAGGGAGTTCATATACTGAAGTCCCTTTGATCTCCTGTCAGACGAGTGGACGAGTGGATTTTTCGAGCCGTGTGTATGTGTGTATGTGTGTATGTGTGTATGTGTGTATGTGTGTATGTGTGTATGTGTGTATGTGTGTATGTGTGTATGTGTGTATATATATATATAATCAATGTACACCACCACCCCTCTGTCCACCATGTGACATACAAATGACAGCATTAGGACAGATGTTATTACATAAAACATACATTTTACAGCCCAAACAAGGAACTTTGATGAGTGACATTTTTGGAAGATGGGACATATTTTAGTCTTGAACACCACCTAGTGGCAACAATATATTAATACTATTAAAAATTGTTTATGCAAGATGTCTGTTTTAGAAAGAACCTGTCATAACAGAAATAAAGGAGTGGTCTTTGCCAATTTTTCTGTCCTTCTGGACTTTTATCGTCATTAGGGATGCACCAATATTAGTATAGGTACCTGTGCCAATGTCTAATACTCACCCAAATGCTTCGATGCTTAGCCCGATACTTCCAGTATCAGGAAACCGGTCAGCGCGTCATTACGCGCTGCCCTCCTTCCTGATTGGCCGGGTAGCTGGCTCCATGCCACCTCGTCACTTGTTACTAGAGAGCATGGAGCCGGCTTCCCGGCCAATCAGGAAGCTGGGCGCCGCGTCATTACACAGCGCCCGGCTTCCCGATTGGCCAGAAAGCTGGCTCCATGCTTTCGTCGCCTAGTGACGAGAAGCATGGGGACGACTTCCCTGCTAATCGGGAAGCCGGGTGGCGAGTCTTTACACGCCGCCTGGCTTCCTTAAATTGGACTTCCTTTACTTGTACTCACTATCGGCGAGTAGCAAAAAAAAAAAATTTTTTTAAATATCGGTACTCGATACCGAAATCGGTGCACCCCTAAGCCTCATCTTTATCATGTTCACTATTTAGTAACCAACCTGGAATAAGCACGGGCTTAACCGCTTGCAAACAATTACACAGAACCAATTACGTCAGTTTCAACCCCAAAAGAGTTTATATACTTATGCTTGCAACATAAGTTACCAACGTCAGTGTGGTAAGAAGTCGGCTAACATATGTTTTTGGTTCTTCACACAAATGCAGGAACATATAAACTTAAAGTCCTTAGTAGAAAGTAAACCTGGGCTGACAATTCAGGACATACGTGTCCAATATAATGCATTCCAGTCACTTTAGAGATTACATACAGACATGAATACAATGTATTCCAGTCAGTTTTTATTTTACATGCATACTTGCAACAGAAGTAAAAAATAAAATAAAAACAATTGCTGAAGTTGTCCCAATCCTGCAGGAAGAACTGCGGCCTCCTGATCCCACTTAAGGTTAACCCCAAGAGGACCAGTAGTACGAGCAAAGTAAAAAGTGTTCCCTTTAATCCCTGATCCCCAGAAGTACACCCATGCCTTGCTTTGACATCTCAGCTGTGCTGCACCCGCTACAAATATTAAAAGCCCAGTACCTTCCATGTATAGAGGAGCATGTGACTCACTCCGGGTGAAAGAAATGGGCCAATTAATGCTGTCCTATGGAGAGTCAATTGCCCCGTATAAGCTTGATTTCGGAGACACATGTACACTTTTAGTTGCATAGGATTATATCCGAATGGGGGTTGAAATCTGTATCGCTTTCCAAAAAGGAAAACAAACAAAATTAGTCCCATGCTTTAATTTTTCTAGATTTGAATGGATTATGATGATTCAAATGATTGGACTGGAGTCAGATTCACATATATGGCACCCTGACAGACCAATGGGTCTCAATGATCACATACACTAGCATATATGGTTATTGGATTTTCCACTAAGCCCCAATGATATCTGTACAGACTTCAACAAATTATGTCTACAGTGATCTAACTTCAATCTGCTTTACAGGGCGTGTACAGAGGGATTACCATGTTATGACTGACCATTGGAAACCTCACAAAATCATCGTTTCTTGTAAAGGAAGGAAAAAAAAAAATCATTGCTGTGGCCAATCAAAACGTGACCAGCAACGAATTTATACCAAACAGCTGGGACCAAAAGATCAGCCCCTCTGACAACCACATACACATTGTTAGACATCTTCAGCACTAAAGCGGAGATGAAGGTTTAGGCCTCGTTCACACTGCCGTGCGTATACGTGCGTATTGTACCACATGCAAATAAATGGCTCCATACACATAGCCGCGTATGGAGCTGTATATTTGCGTAGCGTGTATATGCGCAAAAACAGAATGGAACAGAGATGCGTCCGGGCAGCGTATTGCTGCGTATTTACACGCACATACGCGTGTTTACGCGCATACATGCACGTTACGAGTGATGCATTCTGGGATTGCATATAGTGCACGTATATGCGTATATACAATTTTGCTCTTGCGTTGTGTGTGAATGAGGCCTGAGGCCTAATGCCCAGAAAGTCCGACATGGTTTGCACACAGCCAGTTTACTTGTTAATATCCTTTAACCTTACCATATCCAAGCAAATCCCGGCGTGACTTTTTGGAAAAAGAGCCCGAGTTGCTTCATATATTCTTTTTGAAAGCGCATTTTTTTATTTTTGTTTTCTATTTCATGACAGGCCCAAAAAGCGAATCTTTTCTTTTAAAAAGGGTGCCCTGACATTGTTTAACCAGTTGACATCCGCGGTGTTAAACCCCCTTCCCATCCAGGCCATTTTTCAGTATTCAGCGCTGCGGTACTTTAACTGACATTTATTCCGTCATGCAGCGCTGTACTGAAATTAATTTTATACCCTTTTTTGGGGACAGATAGAGCTTTCTTTTGGTGGTATTTATTCACCACTGGGGGTTTTATTTTTTTACTATATTAAAGGAAAAATTACCGAAATTTAAAAAAAAAAACAGTTTCCCCTATATTAAATGATAAAACATTTATTATTACCCAATTTTTTGGTAAAATATAAAAGATGGGGTCACGTCGGGTAAAAAGACACTAAACATGTCAAGCCTTAAAATTTCGGGCTATGGACCCGCCGATCGCCTATATGTGAAACACCCGGTAACGGGTGTGTGCATTTAGCGGGTCTTTTCTGCCCGTGCGTGCGAGCAGAAAAAAATTGCCGTCTGGAGACGGCAACCCGCAGATGCTGCAGTGCCGTCCGTCCGTTTTTTTACTACGGGCGGACGGCAAGAGGTTAAGCCTGCTAAATAAACTAGACCTAACTCTAGTCTAAACAAAACCCTAACCCAACCCACCAATGTGAAGAATCAACAAGTCTGAATAGCAGAAACCCATCCCTGCATACCCTACAAAGACAATCCAACTGGCTCTGGCAAAATAACATGTACGCAGGCATAGCAGGGGGGCCTCTATTTTTGCAAGACAAGTTTGGCATAGCAATGTATATTAAACTTCATGATTTAGTGCAAAAGAAAAATCATTGGACTGTTGACAATACTGTATTATATGAACAATGAGCTGGGTGAGCACACCACAATTGCATACTAGTACATTGCTAAATGAACTCTTACTGGTGACAGGCGTGGCATTGTTAGGGGTGTCTGCTCGCAGGTACTGTGTTGTCTGTGTAGAAGGCTGAGAGAGTCCCTGGGAGCTGCTGCTGTCACTTATGCTGCAAAACAAAAACAAAAATCCATGTTTTAGCAATACACCGACAGACAAACAATGAGATATATGGATGTAGGAATCTCATTTGAATTTCTACCTCTAGATATTACAGACACGTCGTCAAATGACATTAATAACCCAGAAAAAGATGGTATGCTGTAACCCATAACAACGTATTACCGGTCTCAGCTAGTGAACGAAAATGTGATTTTTTTTGCTATGGTTTACTGCACACAAACGTTTCTTATATCCCTCCCTAGAAAAATGTAAATCAAATCTGAAAGAAGATGTTTGTACTTGCTATACGTTCTTTATCTCGAAGTCCATGGAAGGACACAGGAAGATACTAATGCTTAGACATTTGAATTCTACTAATAATACTGGAGGTTTGGACACTTGTAAACAAACAACATTAAGCCAGGCCCTATATAACTCCACCTTCAACTGTCATGTACCGGTTTCTCATAAAACAGGCATAAGGACATAACACAGATGGACCGGACATCAAGAAAAAAGATTTAACGGTAGGTAAAAAAAGAAAGAAAATTAGATAGATTTTTTTTTTTTTTAAGTAGTAGTAGTAGTAAGGTCTGGGTGTTTACCTTAATTCATTCTCTGCATTAGGGTAAAAAAACGGCCCATAGGCTCCTTCTGCCATCAAAGAGAGAAGGGGTGTGGCCTGCCAAAGGGCTGTGTCTATGGACGCACACGTGCCTCCATTAGAACGATGGTGGCACCCGTGTAGGGGGCAGGGAGATTGCTGCGGGGACCCACTAGAAAACGAGGAATTACGGTAAAAACTTTTAAAAAGAAAACAGCAACAGCCTCTAGCAAAGGTCGGCCTCCTTGTAGGAAATATTTTTTTTTTAAAAAGGAGGCTTCAATATCACTTTAACATTCATTGAGAGACAGAAAGATAGAAATTCTTGGACATTTGGGACATCCAAAAGCAGTTCAACTGAAGGGTGGGCAACAGCCAGCAGATATGGACTTTTCTTAAAAGATCTAAAGTAATCAACCCTAGATTAAAAAGAGCTGAAAATAGGGGGGTGAAGTTGAACATGGAAATTGCCACCACACAAAAGATGAATAAAATATAGGGATACCAAGGAATAATCTGGTGTTCAAGAACAGGACAGGTAAACAGGCAACTGCTACTTGATGGAATAATGGGCATCAACTGACAACGTGGAGGACAAAAAAAAAAAATCATCTACCATAAAAGACAAAAAGGTGAAAAAGTCTCTGAACAGAGAAAAAACATCTGACCAACAGCAAGGAGGTTTTAAGGGAACAGGCCGAAGCCCAGGACACCTAACACTCAAATACAGGGAAAGGAAGGCTGGACAAATAGGGTATGTCTGTCCAAGCGAAAATATTAATGCATAAACAGTTGTAGGCTTAAGACGATGGAAAAGACGATGGAAAAGACGATGGAAAAGACGATGGAAAGACAAGTTCTATACAATTAAAAATAATATATTAACAGATGGAGACTTAAAGTGACACCAATATCACGAGTTAAACCTTAAATATGCATTCATGTACCTTACGATTAACAAAAATGTATCTTATTTGTGTATCACTCGGCTGTAGATCCTCAAATCATCTCTGAATTTGTGCGGACACTGTCCTTCCTAAGACTACTCGGCATGATGGATCCTGTCTGTGTACGAGCACGGACACCCGCACGGATGTGTAGTTCAGGTGAGCGTACGGCCGCGTACTTCCATAGAGAAGAACAGGCTGCTGCGTACAATCACACGCAGCACCTGTACTTCCCAGAAACAGCCCGAAACGGCCATGTGCCCCACACCAATCTGTGCAGTGTGAATGAGGCGTAAGGGGATGGATATACTCATATGGAAGAGAGAAATTAATAAAGGGATAAAACCTACGGTTAGCAGAACAGATTGATCAGGAGGACCAGTTTCAAATCTTTTACATTGTTAAGAGGAGGCCATGATTGCACAGGTTGCTCTCAGTCCTCATACAGGAAGGATTTATATATTGAGTATATCGGGAAGGTCATAGAAGCAACAGCTCTAGAAAGACCCTACCACATATGTAACAGGCCGATCCTCTATTTGCAAGAAAAGCCTGCATCAGAGTACAGAGTACTGTAGAATCAGATGGGACTTATTCAAATACAGGCTCTTCAGGAGAAGGCTGTGAAGATGGAGTCTAAAATCAGAGAAAGCACACCTGGAGATAAAAGGACCACTAGGATCGGTATGGCATTCTGATCCTATTACATCAGACTTGAAACGCTTGTGAGCAGATTAATTGTCCACAAACCAATAAAAAAAAATGTGAAGTGGATATAGGTCTTGTGAGCTAGTAGGAGGTCTCAGCCATGCATTGTGGAGCTGTACAAGACTCTGATGAGGACGACCTTATAGGAATAGGGGTCTCAGGTTCTTTACTGTGTGCATTGGACCCTTATGGGGATATCAAGAAATTGCCCCTATTCACAATGGAGGAGTATTGGCTGAGATCACCCATTGACTATCCTCTGTATGTTCATTAACATGTTGCAACACGTAGCAGACAGCAACTGGGCCCAAGGAGGGGGCAAAGCCTCACTCACAAACTAGGGCAGCTGATGCCAAGGATGTTTGCAGATGGCCTAAGGTCACCAAGCTGGCAGTGGAGCAAGACTCAAAAACAGTGGATCCACAAAGCAATGCAAAGGCAGATGCAGCAGGGGAAGGTGCTTGCCATAAGATGAAAAAAGTGGGAGGAAGAGTGCACCAGCCCTCACTCTACCCTACCAGATAACCGATGCAAAATGGCCATGGCAAGACATTTTAAATGGCGCCTAACCGTACCAAATTAGGAGTTCCATCAAGCTGAAGCACTGGGAGTGGACAGTACTAGCTATGCAAGTCCTCAGAGATGTGGTCACACCAGGGGATGTGCTGTGGCCAAAGACCTGGAGAGTACTCTGTGGCTAACAGTACACGTGTCTGGTCCCGCCTGTTCGCAGCTCCATACACGGATTACGCTATGCACGCCACGGACGCCATGCCCACAGCGCACACGACGCGTACCCGGCCACCGCACAAGACGGACACAAGCCCGCAGAGCACGCCGCCGCCGCCACGACTTACAAGGGTTCAGAAACAGGTAAGGGGGACCTGTTTTAATGTTTCCTGTTTAAAAAAAAAAAAAGCGGCACACTGTAGAACACCAGCAGCTATAGAGGAACAACAAATCCCAGCAATAATATATTAAACAACTGGTATAATGTATTATTGCTGGGATTTGTTGTTCCTCTATAACTGGTCAGTGGTAATCTGCATTGCGCAGTATAATCATTATACAGCGCACTGCAGAATACCAGCAGCTATAGAGGACTACAAATCCCAGCAATAGTACATTATAGTATAATGTACTATTGCTACATTCCTCTATAGCTGCTGGTATTTTGTACTGCGCCGCTGTATAATGTACTATATTGCACACTACACTCTTTTTTTACTTCCACCGCGTCAAGCTTGCTCCCGTGATGGACTACAATCTCAATAGAAACTAGTAGTCCATCACTGGAGCCTTTTTTTTTTTTTTATCCGATTAATCGATTAATCGAACTTAATAATCGGCTAACTAATCGATTATGAAAATAATCGTTAGCTGCAGCCCTACTGGAATGCACCACGAAGTATGGCCCATTGCTCGAAGACCACAGTCCTAGTTGGCGGGCCACAACCAATGGCTTACTCACAGTGAGTCTTCAGAGACTGGGTCACACTAAAGGCTGTGCCACAGCTCTGGACCTTGAGAGTGCACTGAAGATAACAGAACACACAGGTCTGGAATTCACCACAAGGCCAATGCCCTAAGGTTACTTTCCAGAGTAACCAATCTTCGCAATCTTCCACCCAGCAGATTTCAGGTAAGACCTCCAAAGCTTTTGCTGAGGATGCACCAGCCCCGATAGATTCCGTGTAGAGACTAGCTCAAGCAAAGTTTTTAAAAGTTTTAAAGTCACTGAAGAGAAACAAATGTCTACTGTGCACCTTGTGCATCTTGACTGAAGAATAAAAGTCTCACAAAAAGTCAGGTAAAATGAGACTTGGAGGTGGGATTATACAGGGGCTGGCTTATCATTTGCCAGTGTCCAAATCTCCTGAAGGCGCCAGTATAACCCAAATGTCTAAAATCCTTTCTTCATACATCCCTGAATGGATAAAAGGTCATTTTTAATTGGGTCTTAATTTGTGCTGCAGTAATTTGATGTAAAGCATTGCGACTAAATTGCAATACTGTGTAGCGGAACACAATTGTTTAAAACACGGTGTTCAAAGCTGAAGCAGACAGAATCTGGAGCAGTTACCAATCAGATTCTTTCATTTTTAAAGCTTAAATCAAACAAACTGAAGATAGAAGCTGAATGGTTACTGTTCACAGCTGCAACAGATGGTTCTCCCCCTCCCCCCCCCCACACTGCGTGCCCAAGATTACATACAAACGGATAAAATTATAAAAACAAAGTAAACCAATTCCATGCTGTTCGCATATGGATTGTCCTGGGTTATAAATTCATGTAGAAGCAGGTAATAAAAAAAATCTCTATATAAAGCAATTCACAAGTCATATAACCCTGGAGAAGAGCTGAACATTTAGGCTGACTTCACAGTAACATGTAAGACACATTTTACCATGCGTTAGCGTACAGATGTCAGAGTACCAGAAGATTTAGTTTTGATTTTTGTGTGTTGTGGTATATTTGCCACCCATTCCAAATCCAAAAACCTATTGCCTTATACCCGGGTCTATTGTGCTCCAAGCTAACTGCACATGTGCAGGAAAATAACAGCATATGCACAGGACTCTAAATATTTCCATTTCACTCATTCTAGGTTTACTTCCAGAAAAGGTTGTAGGGACACAAATAATGCAAGTTTAAAAAGTAAGGAACCCAGGCGAGTATTTATGGTGTCTCTGGCACATCATATCCTGTAGAGCATATCTAACAATGACACCATAAAAGCTCTGGAGCCCTTAAAAGGAGAACTATGAGGTGAGTGATTTTCACTCATCCTTATAGTTCGAGCCGACCTGTGGCAATGAGACTGTCACACGTCAGCTCAATAGATCAGGATGTGAGCGAACACATACCGTCGCTCGCTCACTTCTCGATCCTGTCCCTGTAGAGAGCAGTCACCGCTCTCTGCAGGGATCCCCCAACCCCCCCCCCGTGCGGTCCTCCAACGCTGGCTGGAGGAACGAACAGGGGAGGGGACGGGTACAGCTGGTTCTGCCTCTAGATAGGCAAAGCCAGCTGTCAATCACACATATGGGTGTATCGACAGTAATGTCGGTATCCGACCCGGCTGCGGCGGTCTCAGTATACCGCAAGCTGTAGCTCGCGATATACTGAGCTTTGGGTCACGGGAGGACGCTAGTATATGTCCTCCCATGACCCTGAGGAGAACTATGGGGCAAAACACTTACCCCATAGTTCTCTTTTAACCACTGACTGTGAATTTCTGTTTTAGTGAGAAAACACACCTACCTGTCATCCAGCTCCACTCTTTTCATGCTGTGAAGGTGCAGCACAGCCAGTATAATGGCCACTAAGAAAATGACGGCACAGCAGACACCAACGCTGATGTAGAACACACGTGTAGAGGTGGTGGGAGCTACATTAACAGGATCAACTAAAGAAAAAAAAAATATGATGCAATAAAATGAAATACTCAATTTACTGTGCAAAAATATAACCAAAGGTAATGTTACACTGCCACAGAAACAGCATGCATTCAATGATCAAAATAATGCATAAATGTCATTTCCAATAGTTCCATTTATTTTTTTAGGTCATTTTTTGCAAGTGCAGAAAATACCTATTGATCTTGCCAGAATTGCAGTGTCCTTGTCTCTCCGCCCTTCTAGCCCAATCAGTTGCGGCGGGAGCATTCCATGCCCTGCAGGTACACATAAAGGAGTGGGGAATGCCCTGCCACTGATTGGGCTGGGAGGGGTGTGCCAACCACAGTTTTGAGCAGGCTTGGGCAAACTGGGTTCGTACCAAGCCCTGGCTTGTTACCAGTGACATTCATGGCTTTCTCCATGTATACAGTGGAGGAGTGAATGTACCCAGCCAGGCACAGGTAGTGCGTTATTCACAGGGATTACCAGGTGAAAATAAAAGTACCAGTGGAAAAAAAAGTTGCAGCCCCCACATTTTAAGACTTGTGCACCCTCGGCAATACATTATTTTTTGTAGTCTGTAGTCTATTTTAGTCTGAACATTTGTAATGAGCTCAACAACGTCCATCACATAATCAATCCTTTTTCTTACATGAGGTTTTAAGAAGCCAATTTTCTTAGCTGTGCAAGTGATCAACAAAAAGCTCATTACCATTGCATGACTGCACAACTGTTACTTTTGCCACACAAAATGACAAAAATCCTCTCTCCTGTGGATTAGTATTATTCTTCTGAAACGCTATTTATATCCATCTCATATGGCTCAATTTTCTGCGCTCTCCTAAATAAAATGTATACAGCAATTTAAGATGAACCATGTGAAAAGTTTTTACTGCATTGAAATCACTGGCCACTTTATTAGGTACACCTTGCTAGTACCGGGTTGGACCCCTTTTGTCTTCAGAACTGCTTTAACTCTTCGTGGCATTGATTCAACAAGGTGATTGAAAGATTTCTTAGAGAGATGGGTCCATACTGATACGATAGCATCACACAGTTGCTGCAGATTTGTCAGCTGCACATCCATGATGCGAAACTCCACCAGCCTGAACCGTTGATACAAGGCAGGATGGATCCATGCTTTCATGTTGTTTACATCAAATTCTGACCCGACCATCCCAAAAGTTGCAAAATAAATTGAGACTCATCAGACCAGGCAACGTTTTTCCAATCTTCGATTGTCTAATTTTGGTGAGCCCTTGCAAACTGTAGACTCAGTTTCCGGTTCTTAGCCGACAGAAGTGGCGCTCGGTGTGGTCTTCTGTGGCTGTAGTCCATCTGCTTCAAGGTTTAATGTGTTGCGTGTTCAGAGATGGTATTCTGCAGACCTCGGATGTAACGAGTGCTTATTTGAGCCTGTTGCCTTTCTATCAGATTGAACCATTCTGGCCATTCCCCTCTGACCTCTGGGATCAACAAGGTATTCTTGCCCAGAGAGCTGATGCTCACTGGCGATTTTCTCTTTTTCAGACCATTCTCTGCAAACCCGAGAGATGGTTGCGTGTGAAAATCCCAGTAGCAAATACTCAGACCAGCCCATCTGGCACCAACAACCATGCCACGTTCAAAGTCACTTAAAATCGCGGTTTGAACTTCAGCAGACCATATTGACCATGTCTACATGCCGAAATGTATTGAGTTACTGCGATCCGATTGGTTGATTAATTTGTGTTAACACGCAGTTGAAGAGGTGTACCTAATAAAGCAGCCAGTGAGTGTATATAGCAATAGAAGTAACAAGAATTCGGCATGTCAGGATTGGACAAATCGCAGAAAAAGAGCCATGAGGATATCTGGTGTGTTTGAGCTCATGCAGAGCAGATGACTGAGGAGAGCCACCTAGTGGTCAGTGTCAGATCTTTCACTGCAGGAAGTTGGTGCTCTAGCCAAGTTGGATGCCACGAGCAGCCAGGAATCGAAAAAGCGTGTCGACCTAAAATATAGGTGATGCCGAAAGGGGCACCTTCTATGATAAGTGCCTCAACTGACAACCCATTCCACTGCCTGGTTACTGCACTGTAAACACAGACGATAATAGGACAGAAGTACAAGTACATACAACAGAATTCAGAGGCGATGGTTAATATGTAATGTGGCTCCAGAAATACCTTCCTTAGGGGAGGGAATGTGGCTGTATTGGGAAAGAGACATGGCATATTCGCTCTTGCTGTACCCCCATGCTTTGAGGATCACAGCCACTTTGAGTCTGACTAGAGTCTAATGAAAAAATCATCAGCCATATAACATTAAGGATGTGCAACACTTACAGTGGATTCTTGTGCTGTTCCTGTCAGGAGACAATGGGGATTTGGGTTCTGGTTCAACCTCTGTGAAAAGAACAAACAGAATTAACACTGCACAAAAATCCATCTCCATTCTCTTTTGCGCAAACACATTTTTACGTTCAGTAAAATGTCCACTAAAACCTCACTACACAAACATTAGATTGGCCATATGTCAATCAGGTAGAACGGACGTCTAGAGGTACTGACTGCAAACTCTACTGAAGGGAGATTGTACAGAAATATGAACAGGAGGAGGTGGTCAACTTTATTTTTCTTCCTTAGTGTAAAGCCAATACCCGATGTCTGTGTGTCTACCAGTAGGAACCCAGGTTGGTCAAAAATTAAACTATTGTTCTGTCAGTGGTACCAAAATATTTATTTCTAGACTAATGGAGACCATTTCTATAGTAGCAAGTCCAACTGGGCTTGGATCAGCAAGCCATATTGGGATTTTTAGCTCCATCATAACTGGAGAAATATGGGCGGCTATCCTCCAACCTTTATACAACGATGAAATAATAAAACAGAAAATAAAAAATAGGGAATTTATTTGTACATACAACCCCTAATCTGTATGTAATGGAGAAAGGACCAGCACAGGGTTCATCCCCCCAGCTTTGCATACTGCACACTTACTCTTGTAGCACATTTTCCTCCTCTTAAAATTGAGGACTGTGATGTTTTTGGCAGGGCTGATTGTTAGGTTCAGCTGCATGACTAACGTGACTTCAGTGTCCATTTTCCCGGAGCAGAAAAGATCCACTCTAAACACTGCCACACAAAAGGAAAGACAGACAAAAAGCCTGTTAATGAAAAGCCAATTAGGACTGCTAATGACACATTCTAGTATATATAGGAGGAGTCACTTCAATGTTTCCAGAATGTTTCAGGACAGAATAGGTTTACATATCTTTTGTCTCTATGCACCACACCAGACTTCGCCAGTAACCTAAATTAAATCCACACACACACCAAAAAGTCATACAAGCTAATATTTTGTGTGACTGCCTTCAGCTTTAATTACGGCACACATTCGCCGTGGCATTGTTTCAATGAGCTTATGCAATGTCACAACATTTATTTCTATCCAGAGTTGCATTCATTTTTTACCAAGATGTTGTAGTGATGACAGGAGGTCAGACCACTGTGTAAAGTCTTCTCCAGCACATCCCAAAGATTCTCAATGGGGTGAAGGCCTGGACTCTGTAGTGGCCAATCCATGTGTGACAATGATGTCTCATGCTCCGTGAACCACTCTTTCACAAAGTGAGCCCGATGAATCCTGGCATTGTCATCTTGGAATATGCCCAATGTGCCATCAGGGAAGAAAAAAATCCATTAATGGAAAAACCTGGTCATTCGGTATATTCAGGTCAGCCGCTGACCTCATTTATGAGGACATAATGTTGCTGAATCTAGACCTGACCAACTGAAACAATCCAGATCATAACACTGCCCTATGTCCAGGCGGTGACTTATTTTTGGCCAGACAGTGTGCATGTGAGAGAGTGTATCTATATTTTAACTTCATACACTCATATAGATATACACAATTGTAAAGAGCACCAACCAGTCTTCTTTAGTGAGTGCATGCAGCAATATTCACAAAGTACACACACGAAGATAACAGATGACAACCCAGGTAATTTTTTTTTAACCTTCCACATGTGCCAGACTGAGACATGCGCATTACAAACAGGATCATGTTCCCCCCATTAAAGATAGACTGTTAAATCTCTGCACAGGAATGATGCGATCTGGGCAGTCTAGAAGCAAAACAGAACCGTTCCTGAGCAGAGTTTTGTTTGAATTTCAGTCATTTGGAACCAATCACAAGGACTTCTTTGGCAGTACACTGGTGAAACTGAATTTGCGCTGGACTAAAAAAAAAACTGAGGAGCAGCTGTGCACGACAACCAATCAGGTTTTGGTTGCCATGGGCAACTGCTCCAGATTCTGTCTGCTCCAGTTCCGACAAAATTCCTTCTCTGCGTTTTTTTTTTTTAAGAAGTACTATTTGGTAACTTCTCTGGCACAGATGCAACATAAGAATGCCTTTCCATAAGGAGAATAACTACAACCACCACTAGATGGCACTCTTACACAAGGCAAAGCTCTCAGTAGTCGTGTTCCGTACCAATGGAAAATATTATTCTTCATTCATTAGCCATTCATTTGATAAAATACATACAACTTTGATGCAAAATATCTGCAACAGCCACTCACCTGATAAAGAGCGTGGGACATCCCCTTGCATTGAGATATTGGTCTGTGGTGTGTCCATGGCTATGGGATTGTCTACATGAAACCCCAATTTGTATTCCACCTGTTAAGTAAGAAGTGTGAAGAGAAAACACCAAATTCAGCTTGAAGTGTACTAGTGACTGCTTGTAGAATGCTATCATGTTAGGCACACTTGTGCAGACCACTCGCCTTTCCTTCACTCCCCCACCATCTGCTCTGCTGCCGGAAGCTAGCAAAGGAAGCTCTATTTAAGCTTCAGGTCTCTCTAATTGGAGCTTACACAGAGGACTGAGGAAGCTCACCCCACGTCAAGGTGGCAGTGATAGACCAATCACCAAGCACTGTCAGGTGACAGGAAGCAGAGCGAGTGACATGATTTTACATACCTAAGAGTTTACTGTACCAGGTTCTAGTATTCAACTAACCAGAAAAAAAAAGTCCCCTTGTGTACTCTCCTGCATGTATTATGCTGGAAATGATCATGTGCCCATTTGTCTTAATTTTCTTTTGATTACTGCATTGCAATATTATTATGAAGTCAATACAGAGCCTTTGTTATGATATAGTACAGGGTATGGCATTAGTTAAAAATAGGTCTAATAGCAACTCTCAAGTAACTAGAAACTACATTTATCTGGAATCTACCAATCCCTGTGGATGGCAGATAACGGGGAGCTTACTGTATTTTCTTCAATCCTGCCAACAGATTAGAGCAGGGGTGGGGGGGGATGAATAAAAGAAATGTGCTGGGGAAGTGGGGGCATTAAAGCAAAACATGTAACTTTGTCCTGCCTGGGAAAAACACAGGTCTGCTTTAAAAGGAGAACTATGGGGTTAAGGCTTTTCCCCATAGTTCTCATTAGGGTAACGGGAGGACACAAACAAACGTCCTCCCGTCACCCTAGGCTCAGTATATCGCTGAGACGCCGCAGCTGAAGCGTCTGGATCCTCCCAGCTGTTCGGCTAGAACTATGAGGTGAGTGAAAAGCACTCCTCATAGTTCTCCTTTAAGGCATCCCTACAACAGCAGTTATTTAGACCTCTATTTAGACAAGCCTTTGTATAAGAATTTTACTCAAAACGCACAGTGTTGTATGGATCTCTTAGGAAGAAGAGCGAGCCGGAGAGCTAGGAAGAAGAGCGAGCCGGAGAGCTAGATGTGCGGGTAAAGATGGACTTTTTCCAGGAAATGTATAATAATTTTAGCGGTTTACAATGTGTGTGTGTTCCCTTTAAAATTATGACAATTGAAAACAGTGGGATTTGATTAAGTTGACATACCTTAGATTTAGAGTTCCAGCTAAAATGGAGCTTGCTTGTCTCGGTGGGAATGAGTAGATTAAAAGATAAAGCATAGTGATTTATGATATCATTCCTGACATAATAAAGTTCAGCATCCAAGCCTACAGAAGAACAAAAGGAAAAAAAAAGATTTAGTGTATACAAATTTACTTCTATATACTAAGAAACCAAACACAGGCCAACCAGAGATGTCATGATATTTCTGAAACCAATCTCAACTTCATGTTCTATGGATAAAAACTCCAGTACAGTGCGTGTATAGTACGGCCATTACAGGCTGCAATATTTAAAGTGGAAGGGATGATAAGAATGCATTCAGGTTCTGTTAAACTGCATCAATGTCTTGGAGGGAAAACAAACCAGACACGCACACCTAAATGAGCACCAGAACTAATATGGAGGGTCGTATATGACAACATGAGGAAAAGGAGGTAATCAGCTGTTTAATAGACCAGCCAAACCTATAAGAAGCATTTCCTCTACCTGTGCCAGCATTACTCCAACAATGAAGGGGCTCCAATGTGTCCTTTGTTCCGGCGGTAGGGACCTTTGCACCAAATTCAAAATAAGCGTTGTCGCCAATTTACACCTTAGAAAACTGGAGGTGATTAAAAGGGGGTACTCACCTGTCATCACACCAGCATTGTAATGGGAATACAGAGTAGAGTTGTTTGACAATCAAAGCTTACTTTTATTACTTTATTACTGTATGAGTGCTGCCTTCTGTCTGCCCGCCCATCACTTTAATCAGCTTCCTGGATTCCCAGTGTGCTTTGCATCCCCCTTCCCTGCTGCTTGATGAAATCTCAATTTCTCAAGACTACATATCCCATCATGCATTGCTTCCAGCAAGCAATGATAATGTTACATTGCTACGACGTTGAGCTGTAGTTCAGAAGGCTGGCTCTGTGAGAGAGTTGTGACACAAGTGCATATTCACAGGGCTGAGTGAAATTGTGTTCCTGCATTGGGGAAGTATATCCTATGGACATCATTAAAAACAAGTTTACAATCTCCTAGATGGGTCTGGTTATTAGGAGAGGGACAGAATGTATGGACATTTTATATAGAAATACAGATGTATTTTTTGACCACAGAAACCCATTAGAACCAAATCTGATTGGCGTACAGAGAGAGGTCAGCGCTCAGAGTGGGACATGTATGTTGTGGGAAGCCATCATGAATCTGGCTGCTGATCTATGTTGATGACTTTATAGACGCAGGCCTCACCTCCACAGGGCATAAGTCCGGCAGGATGCAGGAACGCTGTGCTAAGTGATTCAATCTTAACCTCAGCCAAGCCAGATGTCATTCAACTCTGCTGGATGCCAAGCTGAAGGTGCGCGTTTAATCAGCTAATCAATGTAAAATCCGGCCACTGTCTATATAGTTAGATTGAGTTCCCTGGAAGGCTTTCTGCTATCAGTCCTTGCCCAAAAGTAACTTACAATCTAAAGCTTGAGCTGTAAGAAAAACCCTCCAAACATTGAAAACACATGTAACCTTTACCCTCTCACTAAAAATTACCTCAGCTCCGCATACTGATATAAAACCATCTTACAATCAAACAGATTTTTCTTTCACATACAATTATTGTTTTTCCACTTCCTGGTCCTCTTGGGGATTAGTGATGTAATGTGCCAAAGCGTTGCATCCTGTGAAGGTTACATCAGCAGAGCATTGCTGGGAAATCCCATCCTAGGAAAAATAAGGTATGCAAAGAATAAAAACCCTACAATTATCTCTAAGTGTGATGCAGATTTGCATTACTAAAAATATTTCTAAATAAGTATTTGTTTTCAAAGATCTGGGTAAAGGTCGGCTTTATGTTCTGCTGGGAGTCATGGGCCAGCACTACTAACCAGCAAGCCATAGTCAGCCTGCCCTGCATTATAAATGCTGCAAACATTGAAAACCCCAGCAGTAGAGGAATGGATATAAACTTGCATCATACAAATGTTTACCCGAATGGAATATAAAGAAAAAGACGACAAGACAAACTGTCAATCCAAGAGAACAGCCAACGTTCACTTACCAGCACAGGTAATGATAAAGCACAACAGACCAGAGGTAGCTATGGAAGTGCAGAGGAAGGACTCCGAGGACACAAGTCATCATACATGCTGAATGTGATGGACACATTTCTTACTCTTATGGGGTGGCTGTGCTGATATAGGGGTTCATGTATAAGGGCTTGCTCACACAATGTCCGGACCAGATCTGCAGACGCGGTGCTAGGAGTTTTCAATTTTTTGGGGAGTGGGTCTGTCAGTAGGTTAGCTGCAGTGCGGTGCGTTTGACACGTTCGTGCGTTTCCAGACCGTATCCGGATGGGACAAAATGTGACATGCAGTATTTTTTCTGTCCGGACCGGAACGCGCTTGCGAGAACTGTAGCCCATAAAAACACATAGGGATACATTGGGATCATTTTGGGTGCAGGAGCGCACGGATCTGGTCCGGACGTCATGTGAACAAGCCCTAAAAGTTCCTCTGGGCGGATGCCATTCGCACTGCACTAGCGCCCCCTAGATGGCACTGACGAATATTGCAATTTCATATATTTGTAGCCCTCCCATCCAAACTGTTGACGCCATATAAATCCTGTATAATAATAGTACCATCAAGGGGCAGAACTGCGGTGTGAACAGCATGAACCGGGATATAGGATGGGCAAAACGTGAACCCATAAAATGTCAAGAGTGAGAATCTATTCCTGCCAGCACGGCTCACACTGGCTGCAATGCCTGGCATATTGCATCCCCAGCACTAGCCGTTCTGTAATGCCAGCTGCACTATAAAGAAATGTCAGAACAATACTTCTCTACACAAAGAACAGCAGCATTTCCCAACAAAATGTTCTACTAGCCTACATGGTAAATATTCATTTAGCAAGCAGTTCCTTAGTGATGGATGAACTGCTGCGTGGTAAAGCCATTATGAAATGAAAATTATCCTACAAGCTGCATATTTAAAATGCAAAACAAGGTCAATGCTTATTAAACCTCCATGATGCAAGAATAAATCAGTCGTTTCATGTTAAGCTGCAGAAAGTATCACGTGAGCCAAGGCATTTCATTTTCCAAGGACTTCCATCCTGTCAGGCCTTCCACAGCTCCTATGGACGGTCTCAGCTCCTATGCTGTAGAGTCAATCACTCCCATCTGTGCTCTCTAATAAAGCATGTGAGCTTCATTCATAGTCTAATGGCTCGCTAATAAGCCGGGGCAGAATGACTGATGCTCAAAAGAAACCTTGAACTAATTGGACCAATTAAAGAAAGCATTTAATCCCTCAGAGCACTGCTTGCTGGCACCATTACAACACCAGGGTGGCATTGTTCAGTAAGCAACCCCAGGGCTTGGGAGATTTTAGTGAGCTCGTTCTCTTGTTAACTCATTAATCCGTGCACGGCATGACCAAGCCATCTGTATTGTGGCCATCACCAGAACCCCCGGCTAATGTATGCTATGATCGTTCAATGCTTGTTTAGGCTTCCGAGGAACATCCCTATTTACTTTACGGCTTGTTCAGACATCAAGTTTAAGGATTAAGGAGAAGCAGTCACCAACGGATTTCAAGAACAAATGGCATATCTAGCTTTAAAAAAATGGGGGTGTTTCCTTTAGAGCTGCAGCTAACGATTATTTTCAAAATCGATTAGTTAGCCGATTATTGAGTTCGATTAATCGGATAAACAATAAAATACATTTTAAAAAATGGCTCCAGTGATGGACTACTAGTTTATATCGAGGTTGTAGTCCATCACAGGAGCAAGCTTGGAGCGGTGGAAGTAAAAAAATGTTGTGGTGTGCAATATAGTGAAATGGAAAGTGTAAAATTATACAGCAATGAATGCAGAATGGCACCGGCTATAGAGGACTACAAATCTTGTCCCTGTGCGAATCGTGGATGTGGGCGGGCGGTGAGTGTGAGGCGGGAAGGAGGTGCAGCATGTAGAGCGCGGATGCGGGCGGGTCTGGCAGCGGTGGGCGCGAGTTGGGGAGGAGGCGCGGCGCGCAGCGTTTGTGGACCCGTGAACAGGGCCAACTGATCGGAAGCCGATTAATCGATTATTGAAGAAGTTGACAACTTTTTCAATAATCGATTAATCGATTATGTCGATTAGTTGTTGCAGCCCTAGTTTCCTTATCCTTTCAAAATAAATCTGTGGACTGATTTAGAACTTATTTTGTAAGGTGGTCCCAATATACAGTAGGCACCTCCAAGATCGCATTCAGAGCATTCAGTTATCCACAAATCCATTGCTCGCCATTATACAAATATCCACTACTTCCATTGTTGATAGCTGATACGACTCCTTCCTAAATGGCCACCAAATGGCAGCCTAATTGACTGACAAGACTAAGCAATGCTTTCAAGTACCTTAACAAATAACAAAAATGTATCTTATTTGTGCATCACTCAGCTGTAGATCCTCAAATCATCTCTGAATTGGTGCGGACACTGTCCTTCCTTATGGAGGGGGGCTACTTTTGTTCCCCATGGTCCTTATGAGTGTTGTAAAGTAGCCACCGCCCCAAGCTCTCTCCTGGGATGAACTACAATCCCAATACAAATTAGTAAACTAAACATGAGATTGTAGCCCATCACAGGAGTGAGCTTGGAGCGGTGACTACTTTACAACACACGCAGGAACCACGGGGAACAAAAGTAGCCACCCTCCAGAAGGAAGGACAGTGTCAGCACCAATTCAGAGATGATTTGAGGATCTACAGCCGAGTGATAACAAAAATGTATCTTATTTGTGTAACAGTTAAGGTACTTGAATGTATTTTTAAGATTTAACTTAACATTAGGAGTTTAGTGTCACTTTAATATGGAATTCATAACTAGCTGGCTTTTTTAGGAGCCATCTCTAATGACAACTAGAAGTCCTGGTTCACTTTCTTTTTCCTGCCCTAAAAAACTCAAAAATATGACCCCCAAAAAAATCTATGGCGCTGTGCACATCTGAGCGTTTTGCCACAATGAGCAAAACGCCTGTCACTGGAAAAAGTACATGAGCTTTTTTGGCATATTACAGCTAGTTTTGGCCCCACAGACTCACTAGGAAACGCTTGAAAACATGCGTTTGCTGATTTTGTGCACGTGTGTGCTCAATAATCAATAAGCTACAATTCGTTCACAAAAACGCGC